GTGTGTGTGTGTGTGTGTCTGAAGCTGACCCACAGCTGGCACACATTTTCTTTCTTCTTTTTCTCTGGAAATGTTGAACAAACACGAATATAATACCTTAATAAACCAGCCCGTCTGACAATGTGACTTTTTATGTTTATGATGCTCAATCATTACATCACTGTCTGTCATTATTGAGTCTACATGATAATTTCTGAATTTATATGCAGTCTAACTAGTCAACAATCCAATAAAGATCATATTTTACATGTTTAATATCAGCAAATAATATATTTGACAACAGATAAAATCGATTTTAAATCAGGTTAAACATGAATGTTGAAGCTTTTTAATGTTAGCATACAGGTTTTACGATTAAAATAATAAATTTTGGTTAAATATGAGTAATATTTACCTGTGAAACATAACCCTTTTATCTCTTGTAAACATGTAACAATCGATGTAATTYATAACAAAGTATTTGAACCATTTGTACATTWAWAAASTGTGTGTTTGCACCGTGCTACGTTCTGCTCATTGATTTCAGTGGTTAGCATTAGCATTAGCTCAATGTGAAGCCRCGCCCAGTCCAGTGATACTGTATATCAGTGGTCTAGGCCTCGGGGGGTAAGGATTCAGGTTYTGGTGGGGTGAACGATGTGTGTGTTTGTGTTGCAGTGGGCTCGTTCTGCGCCTGCACCAGCGCCAACAACAACACATACTGGTGCCTGAGGACCATCAACGACACACACAACTTCCTGTTCTGTGAGTTCGCCACCGGCTTCCTGGAGTACTTCGACCTCAGCACGGACCCGTACCAGGTCTGAGGAACCGGGTCCTGGGAGGGAGACTTCGGACCGTCTGAAACGGCGTGGTGACTGTCTTCTTTGTGTGTCTGCAGCTGATAAACGCCGTCAGCTCTTTGGACCGAACGGTTCTGAACCAGCTGCACGTCCAGCTGATGGAGCTGAGGGGCTGCAGGGGGCACAAGCAGTGTAACCCCCGTACACACTCCGTGGACCTGGGTATGACACACTTCCTGTTCAGTGGAAGGAGACTATGTAACTGTTGTTTGATTGGATGAATGTTTAGTTTTAATGTTTCTGATTCGCTCCTCTTGGTGGTGCGTTCAGGTGACCGTCGTTAATTCTAGCACTGTTCTCATTAACCAATCAGATTGTGTTTCCCTTCAGGAGGGCGGGCTGACGCCAGCTTTGATGACTACAGGTACACACACCTGAACACACACACCTGAATACACACCTGAACACACACACCTGAATACACACCTGAATACACACACCTGAACACACTCACCTGAACACACTCACCTGAACACACACACCTGAACACACAACTGAACACACACACGTGAATACACTCACCTGAACACACTCACCTGAATACACACACCTGAACACTCTCACCTGAACACACTCACCTGAATACACACCTGAACACTCTCACCTGAACACACTCACCTGAATACAC